GCTTAAAGCAAATTGAATTACACCTACAAACACTGCTGACAATTAAATTATGACTCCTCATTCATTAGTATCAGAGATTACACAGGAAACACAGGCATTGTTATTCTTCTCTGATACGCCTGTAACGGCAGCAAGATGCAAATGCCTGTTTGTTTGTTTACGACTCTGTACTGGCGTCCAATTTGGCCAGTTACTGTCGGCCATCGCAGCAACAGCCATATTTCACCAGGCCAGAGCTGCAGCACAAGTTTTACATAATTAACGTCTGCAAACTGATGTAAGGACGTCTGTAGTCATTTCTTTGCTGTCATCAGAGTGAAGCTATTGCTCGAGATTGAACTATCACTGCAGAGCGACATGAACGCATGAAAACACGGGCGCACAGCAAAGGCCCAGCAGCTGAGCGACGGCTTCTGTGTCGACTGTGGCTCCGTCTCCTAAATGGTTGGTTGGTTGGTTGTGACCAAAGGTTGGATTTGAGGACATCTATGGTTGGTCGCAGTACTGAAACATGATTTCCTTTGGAACACTTGTTTACTACGAGAGCATGGGGTTTTTTTATGTTCCACCTCTGTGTCTTACTTCACTGCAACCTGTGGTTTTCACAAGAAAATACAGTATTTTAATCTTTTCATTCCCTAAGTTCTCTGTAATGAGGCAGCCCTGGAAACACAAGGTAAACCAGCCCAGTAAAGCAGGGATAAAGTTTCACAATAGCATTTTACTGGTGTCCAGATTAAGTCCAGTTACTTAATGACTGATAGGTGGCACTGAGTAAGAAAAGCGTTGATTATTGTTGTTATTATGTGTCAAAATGATTAGGTGTAAAATGATTAGCATGCATTAAAAAATTAAAATGTATAAATATAAATGAATTTAAGTTTTGAATATACGTTTGCACACAATATATATGGGGTATATACACAATATAAATTAAATAAGTGCATGAATCTTTATGGCACATTTAGTAAATGTTTGGTTCTAGCATCGTTAAGTTTATTCATTCATTTCATTCATTCATTATTTAATTAATTTATCGTCAACATCTCCATTCTTTCCAGAGTTCTCTGGAGAACTGGAGTCAATCTCAGTAGTAATCAGGTGGGAGGGGGGGCTTGAGGAGGGAGGGGGTCCAGACTCCACAGTTCGTCGGTCCATTACTGGTCGTAACGCTCATAAATACGGTCAGTTTAGAGATTACTGGTCCACATATAGAGACAACTCTCTCTGGCACACGCTCATAAATACGGTCAGTTTAGAGAGTCCTCGTAACATATTAACATATGAATCTGCATGTTTGGAACTATGGAAGGAACACAGAGTCCATTGCGTTTATCTTTTTCTTTTTTTTGCTGTAAGGTGATACCTATATAACTACTTTAACCCTGTGTTACCTTTCAAGTTCCTCATTTAAAAGATCGGTCCTGACATAGACGGACAAATAAAGTACCACTTAATGCCAGATACTGCGAGTTTATAATATTAAAAGCCAGTGCAACGTCACCTCAGCCTGAGTGCCTGTGAATGAATGCCTTTTAGCACACCCTGCAGGAAAGTCAGCGGTAGCTACACGCTTACTGCTGACATACTATATTAAAATTACCCACGTCATTACAAAATTATTCCAAGAAGCACTGAGAAATGGCTTTCCCAATGCATTATGGGAAATGTTCCTTGTGCCACGCAAGGGCAACAAACTAGAACAAAAAGATACTTAAACACGTGGCCCATATGTAGTGAAAACACACCCGTCGATAAAAATAAAATATTAGTTCATAACATACATAATCTGACAATGTAAAACCAAAGAAATGTGATGAGTAATAATAAATACATCACACTGCCAGTAAACGCCGCCGCCCACACGTCAGTAACGATGTTTTTATCACAATGAATTATTGCGGAGAATCTTTGTTCACATAACAGCGCACAGTGCAAATATTCCAAGGTTAAACAACACTTTCAGTCACACACACAAATAAATGGTAGCTTGCAGAGTCATTGGACAGCTCATTACTGAAGAGGAGAGTGCAGCCACAATTGTTCCAATTTCCCTGAAGGATACCCGGATTACTTCAAACTTTCGGAGGAGTGAGCCAAAAGTGATTTGTTCCATCTGTCCTCTTTTGACCAAATCCTCGCTCTAATATGAAATACTCGTATGCAGGCCAATAGATTTCAACAATCATACTTAGCCGTCTGTGAGCAAAATCGGGCTTTTTGGTATCTGTGAAAGAAAGCCAAAGTAAACACTCGCCTCGACTGCACTCACTCTGCTGCCTAAATGTCTTGTTTCTCTGTTTTTGTTTTCGGTCTCCGTCGCCGTCTTGTCTTTTTTTTTTTTTTTTTTTTTTTTTTTCCTAACCAACTGACAGAGCCTAATTTTCTGCCTCCATATGGGAATTATCAGACGCAACACATAACAGGTGGCAGCAGAACCGTCATGTCTGATGCAGAGAACACTGGTACATGTGGGTTAGTGTGCGTGGTCCACTCTCTGGGATTAAACTCTCCTGGGCGACTGGGCCGCCATCTCCACATCTTGACTAATGTACAAGTGTGAGCAGCCAGAATAGTTCATCTATAAGAAGTGGATGTATCCATCTGGAGGCAGGAGTCAAGTGTTGGAAGACGGTCAGAACAAACAAAGAACAAATAAGGTGGGGGTGCGGGTGTGGGGGGGTGACTTTGGTTGAAGCAAATTGAACTGTTTGAATGGACGTCTTTGGAAATGTGTGACTCAATCACGTTTTTGAGGTTTGTTCAGTTTGAGAACAGAACATTATGTCCTTTTGAAAATTATTCTTCAATATAGGAGGGAAAAAATGCATAATAAAGTTTGGCAGAAAATGTCACCAAACTTATATTCCATTATCGTAGCTTAACTATGCTGGAATTAGCAATAATAATTTCTGACTAAATCATGATCCCTACACTACTTTGCAGCTTGTAGGAACTCAGAGTACCTGTAATTTCAGGTTTTAAAACATCTGGTTTAAAGAGTTTTCTGTCACCTTTTCTGTATTGTCTCCATGTCTTTGAGCCTATGATTTATTACACATGGAATCATGAAACTTAATAGTCATAAATACAGTCCTCATAGCACTTACCACAAAAGGGTAAAACTGATCACCAGCTACAAGGTGACTAGCTACCACCTAGGCTAGCTAGTTAGCCCTTAAGCTAAAATGCTAACCCAGAAGTTTTACTCAGGGCTTGGGCAGTGAGTGTAGTCCTAAAATAAATTTTGAGAAGAAAAGTTCTTAGAGCAGCACTAACTACTGACAGATCCACTCAGCCCAGCTGTCATCACCCACAGACGTGTGTGTATAAGTATTTATACAGTTTAAATGCAACAGGCCTAATAAGATGTCAGCCCAACAAAGACTCCTGACCAGCAGACAGGCTATTAGTGCGTTCAAAGGAAGGTTAAAGGAAAGGGAAGAGGAGAGACAGCAGTGAAAAATGGGTGTGAAACACAGATGTACAGAATGATGGTGGACTTATGTGCAGTGTAAAGAAATGAGTCAGAGGATCATGAGAAATGAAGATGTTTCAGGGATCCATTGAAATTTACTGTATCAAACCTTGGATTTATAGTGGCAAAATAAAAATCCATATCATTAAAAAAAATAAAAAACGAGTTACCAAGTCTTGAACGGTTTCTAAAATGTATTATTGAACTAGTGTTTTGTGTCTTTAATTTGACATTTTTACGTGTTCCTGGTCCAGAACAGTAATTACGTTGTCACCAATGTAAATGATGTGGCTTTATTTAAATGTTATTTACTGCTAATTTAAGAATACAACTTTTCATTGCACACTCCAATACCTAAACATTTATTTGTCGTATCACAGAAGGAGTATATTCCCTGGGGAAAATGTGTATTTTTTTTTTTCATGTATTCAATTACAAGGAGAAAAATGAAAAAGGACATTTTTTTTGTTTATTACTATTTTTGTCCATTTCTATTGGAATCATGTCTTATAAATCCTGCCGTTTTTAGGTGTTAGTCCTTCTTATATCAATACATTTCTAACTGAAATTGAATTCACAATTTGTGAGCGAAAAGCTGGGGCAGAATTCTAACTTTGATATTTCTCTGAACATTTAATCATTAGTGATAGAAAAAGACAAATAAGTTGGTTTGAGAAATGTTATGGGATTTGAATTTTCGGACTCAAACTTCAAATTCTCAAATTCCACAAGACATTTATTTATTCGTATTAAACTGTTTTGTTTTTAAGGAAGAAAAACGGAGTGAACGTTTCTCTTTTTAAGAAACACACGTTGGTTCACATCTCTGTTTGCACCTCCGTATGGTGAGTGCATCTGTGCATGTGCCGTTTTATTGGTCAATTACACAAAGAGAAATACATAAATAGACACACACACACACACACACACACACACGCAGACAGGCACACAGATCCATACAGATGGAATTCCCTCACAAGTGCATCCACCTCCTCCTCCACAAACTTTCAGTGTTAATCCCTCCACTATTCACACATATGCAAACACACACACACACACACACACACACACGGCACGCTGCTGGAAATGACAAGACTTTACACTGACAGATAATTCTTCTCTTTAAAGCTGCACAATCTTGGAAAAGAACTCCCACACCGGCAGTTAGGCAGATCCTAGCATCTGAACACACACACACACACACACACATCTCTACAAATAAACGCATGCACCTAAAAACACACATACACTCGGCAAACACAAACAAGATGTGTGTGCACACATGCGAGGAAGTAACACTGCCGTTCTCCTGCACCAACGTAAAAACGGAACCAAAACAAAGGACGAAGTCCGAGACACGGACGTCCACCACGCCAAACCAAAACACGCGCTTGAGTGCTGCACTCAGATCAGTCATCAGCTCTCACTTGGCTTATCTCTATGGTGATGCTGGCTGAGGAGTGATGGGGAGCCTGCTGTACCATCTCCATCTCATCAGGACACAGAACTGAGTCACACATAC